CTGTTTGGATATAGTACATATAAAGTGAGAGATCTGTGGAAGACCATGGTCACCAACGTACTGTTTGGATATGGTACATATAGAGTGAGAGATCTGTGGAAGACCATGGTCACCAACGTACTGTTTGGATATGGTACATATAGAGTGAGAGATCTGTGGAAGACCATGGTCACCAACGTCATGTTTGGATATGGTACGTATAGAGGGAGTTAAAGTCGCAAATCATCTTGGCATTCTGAGTCTTTATAAAAGAGAAATTAAAAAGTTTTCTAAGCTGATTCATTTTAAGGTAATAATGAAAATGTTGAAGTCGTTTAGCTGTTTATATTAGGGCTAAAATAGTCTTGTTGCTCGGCTTTAAAAACGTTAGTCAGAGGCCTAGGAGAAAAGTAAAAACATTCATGAAAACAGGGCGGAAAATAGTAAATTCAATAAGTAGGACATTTCTTAAGTAAACATGAAGAATTTAATTACCTCATTCGTTAAGGTTGCGACGCCATTTTTGTTACAGTCACTACTGTTTGAAGTGAGAGTAGGGTTTGGGGAGGAATGACAGAGGAAGTGTTAAACACGTGTATTTAGTTATTGTGATAAAATATAACAGAAGAATTGCTAGCTGCTCTCTTTGTCTTCACCTGTCTACTGCATCAACATACCATTGGAAAACAGTAAATAAACGAATTAACATTTCTGTTTGAGGCCAATGTAGAAAATAGTTCCGTTCGTTTACAGCTTCGTATGACAAACTTGTTTATTCATCCTGTTCGTTTATATAAACGTTCTCCACAGCTTCAACACCGTTCATTGAATAAACTCACGAACTGAATTACCCCCCCCCCCACCTTTATTTTAATTGAAATATTTGAGTTTTAGTAGGTGTGCTGAGATCTCAATAAAAACAGTTTCCGGGTTGAGCCTGTATCCTTGCTAACCTCTTTTTATCACATGAAAGGTAAATGTTAACGAGTTTGAAAATAATTTCAGAATATATTTATTTGTTTGTTTTCAATACGGTTCAATAAAGATAAAATAAATCTTTATGTAGAGGTCGCTTATCCTTCCAAACGTCCTCTAAGGTAGAGCACTTCCCAGAAGAACTTATCTCAGAGAAAGGTAGCAAGTGTTACACAAGTTTCAATGTAACCCAGTGATGTGTTACACAAGTTTCAATGTAACTTAGTGATGTGTTACACAAGTTTCAATGTAACTTAGTGATGCGTTACACAAGTTTCAATGTAACTTAGTGATGTGTTACACAAGTTTCAGTATAACTTAGTGATGTGTTATACAAGTTTCAATGTAACTTAGTGATGTGTTACAAAAGTTTCAATGTAACTTAGTGATGTGTTACAAAAGTTTCAATGTAACTTAGTGATGTGTTACACAAGTTTCAGTATAACTTAGTGATGTTTACACAAGTTTCAATATAACTTTGTGATGTGTTACAAAAGTTTCAATGTAACTTAGTGATGTTTACAAAAGTTTCAATGTAACTTAGTGATGTGTTACACAAGTTTCAATGTAACTTAGTGATGTGTTACACAAGTTTCAATGTAACTTAGTGATGCGTTACACAAGTTTCAATGTAACTTAGTGATGTGTTACACAAGTTTCAATGTAACTTAGTGATGTGTTACACAAGTTTCAATGTAACTTAGTGATGCATTACA